ATCTTTTAGAGAAACATGCTGGTTTATGGATGAAATGATATCTGGGACTGGTTTCAAAATAATGGGGGGGGGGCAGTGGAGGCTGCCTGTGAGTTGGTAATTGTGCAAGCTGGGCGATGGTTACATGGGGGATCATTTCACTGTTTTATGTACTTTTATATATATTTGAACTTTTCCATAATAAAAATTAAAGAAAAGAACTGACGATCTGCGTTTCTTCTTCTTTTCCTTTTTCTTGGCTTTCTTTGATCTCCTTTTTGTGTCTTCATCTGCAAATTAAAGCACATTAGAAATTTTTTACAAATTTAACTCTAAACTCCCAATACTTTTGAGTGAATATTCCATTGCTGTTCTATTTGTTGTTACTCAGAAATTCATTCATTCATTTATTGCTACTTGTCAGGAAGTGTGCTAGGCCCTGGGGACACAGAAATTAAAGTCACATGAAGTATTTGGTGATATGGGGTATTATCACTAATTTTATTACATGAAATATTAGTATTGTGATTAAATAGGAAAATGTCATAAAAGAAATCCTTGGGGCAGCAGTGTGATATGTGTAATTTACATTGACTATCAGAAAAAAACACACCCAAAAACACTTGAAGCAAATATTTCAAAATACCAACAACTGTTAAAATCTAGGTGATATGTATATGGTATTATACTATTCTCTTTACTTTTCTGAATGTTTGGGTATTTTCATGATGGAAAGAGAGAAAGCCCTATAGGTGTGCTTGGGGGGGATGCTTTCCAGGAGCTCAGTCTAACAGAGGAGACAGGAGTAGAGAGAGAAGTAGAATCCAGAGTGATAGGGGGAAGCCTGAGGCGCTCCAGGCCTATAGAGGAGTCTCAAAATCAGGCTGATCTGGAGAGGGTGGCTGAGGAATGGCCGACTAGGCAAAGGTGACTCTTAACCTACTTCTTTTAAAATCAGTTTTATTACAAAAGTAATGCACACCCACTGTTGAAGTGAGTAAGCCAAGCCGCAGGAGGGGGAGACTGGCATTGCAGGCAGGCGAACTCTCTGTATCAAGTGACAAAATTAAGAGAAAGAACATGAAATATTGAGGAGACAGAAAGTAGTTCTCAGGCTACAGAGGATGCTACAAGAGAAAGTGAGAGGATATATGTGATTAGAGCAGATCGATCAGGGTCTGAACTTTACCCTGAAGGCTGTGGGGAGCTACTGAAGGATTTTAAGTAGGTGGCTGACATGCTCAGATTTGGGTTTTAAGAAAGTCTAGTCTTGCCCTGACCGATTTTGTTCAGTGCTTAGACCATCAGCCCACAGCCTGAAGGGTCCTGGGTTCAATTGTGGCCAAGGGAATGTACCTCGATTGCAGGCTCGTTCCCGGGCCCCGGTCGGGGTGCGTGCGGAGGGCAACCAAATGATGTGTCTCTCTCATATCGGTTTCTTTCTTTCTCTTTC